TACTAGCTGTGGACTGAATTGCTTTGGGAGTATTAAGTCAATTCCATAAGAGGAATTTCTGGTAAAGTTAATTTTGTCTCGGCAGCTATTTAATGTTTTTAAATGAACCCCCCCCCCCGGCCAAAAAAAAGAAAAAAAAATCACTTCCACTCATCTTCCATCAGACCAGCACCTATTAATCCCATGTCTGCGTCTTGTCCTGTCCCTCCAATGAAAATATAATGAGGGCTTGGAGGAATGTTGACACTGTATATTTGGACTGTCCTGTTCTTGAGGAAAGCTGGTGCCAAATTCCCTGGTTTCCTCAGAGGATTGCGAAAGGCTGTAACTCAACACACAGCCTGACTGAGTGCAGACGGTAATGATGATCTCCTAGACCTTGGCCGGAGATTGAGAGAGTGTTCCTTGGCCACAGCCTCTATGCTCATTGCTCATTTTCAGGGCTCATGTTGAGTTTGGAGCTGTAGAAGCACTTTTGCAAGGTGTGCACTGGTGTGTGTGGCCCGTGCAACGACTTATTAATCCACAATTAGACTCTAATAGTGTGCTGACAAATGGTGGTAAAATGGCATCAAGGGAAGCATGCACGTCTTTCCCGTAATGCAAGCAGTTTTGACTTCTGTTTTCAGTTGCCATAATGGTTGCAGTATTATGTGCAGGTAATGAGTAGCCTATGAAAACCCCTGTATCCTCGAACTGACCATCTCAGCCAGTCTTTAAAAAGAATGAGGATAACGGGGCCTCCAGTCATGCTGCTGGTCTATAAGAGCCTGAATTCTTTCGTACTTCTAATTGCTTTCAGGAAATGGAGACATTTGGCCTAGCAAAAGACGTGAGCACGCGCACACCTTCAGCTAACTCGCATGCAGTTAGATTGGCTTTGGGCTAATGCCAGAACCTATATTTCATAGCTAATACGTGATGTTTCCGTTCACCGCCCTTGGCTTCAGCTCATGTCCCCTCAGTGAGCTAGCGGTGCCAACACTACTGCTGGTGTTGTGTAGGTGTCTTTGTCCGAGGCTGCTGTGGACCTAAAAGCTGTGGCACTGGCTTTTCTGCTCGACTGCAAAAGCACAGTAAGGCCGTTGCATCATCAAACGCTGACCACTAATCTTCGGCTGCAGGCTGCTGCTGACAGAAGAAAAGGAGAAAAGTACCCTCTTTTTTTGGAAAAATGTAAAATTCACTTTGACTCATGCTTTTATGTATAATTACACCCCGCAAGACATGCATCAGCAAACTTTCCCTGTGTTGTACAGATGAAGCTTCTGTGAGGTTTCATGTCTTAAGGCTTGAATGGGTGTTGAATTTGCAAAAGGGGATTTTTTTTAAACACTAGTGTGGCAGACGGAACAGATTAAACACAACAAACTTTCTACTCAACTCAACTTAAAAGTCATGTTTAACTAAGAACCAAGACACATTGAGTGCCTGTTATGTGTTAGAGTTTACAGTGGAGCTTAATTGTGTGGAATGGTGTATAACTCAACTTTCATGTCTCCTACTGATAGTCATCTTCTTTTATGCATCATTTCACCTTTGTCCTAGAGGCTGCTGGCAAAAACTGTTTCTGCACACTTTTGATTTGTGTGATCTCATGTTGTGCAGTCAAATGTGAGATTTATTTAAGCTTATATAATCAGCGCATGTGTATGTCTATATAAGAGCTGACTTCAACTGCATGTTTCAACACGTCGTACTGAGGAATGGGGGATTTTCCTTGTAACGTGTCTAACAGTGCAGAGTTAGGTTACACTAGGGTGTGTTAAGCCAGTCCAATCGACATAAAATAAGATTATACTTGAATTAACATAGTTTCTTCAATGTCAGCTTCCCTTGAAAAATTGTTTGTCCAGGTTGGAGCCTAATTTGAGTCTGTAAACCAATCCTGACTGTCTAGCCAACTTTGATATTAGACTCTATTTTGGCTCTCAGAGCAGTTTGCTCAGTAATTCCTAAAAGAAGCTTCAGTTCTTGTGGCTTTCCTCTCAATCCGGAATTTAGTTTGGATCCCATCTTTTGAATTCCATTAAAGTTATTGATCAGCAACTAGCTGTGCAGCGCTACTATTGTCTGTATTTCCTTGTTCTTACACACTCTTTCTTTAGAACGAGTTGGCCTTGGCACCCTCCACTCCACTACAACACTCCTGTGAGTTTCAGAGAGGAGGAATTTTGTCTGAGGGTTTTTTTTTTCTTAAACCAGGGCTGTCTTGTTCCTTTCCTCTCCAGCAAAAACAACAGGCTGCTGCCAAGTGCAGTGTAAATGGGAGTATACATAGGGCAAGAGAGAGGGGGCAGTTGGGAATTTAAGTAATAAAATGCCTCATGAGGGACTGGCTCCACACATCAACTTGTCCTTGGGTTTAATACATAATGCAGACTTCTGACAAATCAAAAGAATTAGCAAGATTAGCTT